GAGGAGACAACACCAGGATCTGCAAGCTTCTGGTGAGAGCTTCATGGCTGGTACATAGGAGAAGACAAATTACATCACAAAATGGGAAGCCAGAGAAAAACTGAGGATCCCACCATCCTTTTCAAGGGTATGCCCCCAGTCTACTAAGGACCTCCAACTATCTCCTCCATCAATTCACACCAACATTTTGGGGACAGAGCTTCCCTCTCATGAGCCATTGAGGGATACACTCAAACACTGTACAAGACATAGCACCAAGCCTCCAGAATGACAATACAGTGTCACCAGGCTCCTGGTGTCCTTCCTCCAGATGATGAGCTGGGAAGTGTATTGTCAACTTGGTTTTCACTATGCTGCACAACAAACACACCCCACACCCTCGGTGGCTAACAGAAAGCAAGGCGCTTTCTCACTCTCTTTGACAACCAGACTTGTGGGCTGTGATTGAACTCTGCTCTGACTTCTGGGAAGGAGCAGCCAGATTCAGATCTTGCCAGTCCCAAGGTAGAGACAAAATGGCAGAACACTGGCCCAGGCAGGCTCATTTCAGAAGCAACACAGGACAGTCACACTTCACTAGGCAGCAATAGTCACCTGTGCAGGTCTCATAGAACACAGGAGAGGCAGACTCGCCTGTAAGGAAGGGCGGCAGATACCTTGGCAATAATGCAAGGGACCTCACAACCAGTTAGAGGATGGGCCACAGCTCTGGTTCTTCATCCTGGGCCAGGTCAAAGAAGATGATGAACTGAGACAAAGTGGAGACCATCAGTGTCAATTTTTAATTGTGCTCTGTCGTGGCTGTGCACAGCTAAAAGGGTTTCTGTCATCCCCCCCCCTTTTTGAGATAGGGTCCCCACTTGTAACTCAGACTCACCTGGAACTCTCGAGCCACCAGACACGAGCCACATACAACTGATGCTAGGTTTGATTTGTTTTCTTTTGGTACTAAAGATTAAATATAGGGGTTTGGTTTTGTTTTGTTTTGGGGCATCATGTTTGGCCTAGGATGGCCTTAAAGTCATGACAATCCTCCTACCTCATCCTCCCAAGTGTAGGGTGACAGGTGTGAACCATATCCTCAACTTGCTTTCTTTGTTTTTTTTTGTTTGTTTGTTTGTTTTTGGTTTTGGTTTTTGGTTTTTCGAGACAGGGTTTCTCTTGTGTAGCTTTGTGCCTTTCCTGGAACTCACTTGGTAGCCCAGGCTGGCCTCGAACTCACAGAGATCCGTCTGCCTCTGCCTCCCCAGTGCTGGGATTAAAGGCGTGCGCCACCACCGCCCGGCTTATTAATTTATTGAGACAGATTTCATGTAGCTCAGGCTACCCTCTGTCCTTAAACTCACTATATAACTGAGGATGACCTTGAACTTCTGACCCTCCTGCTGGCACCTCCTGAGTACTGGGATTACAGCTGTGTACAACTGCACCCAGTTTATGCAGTGCTGGAGGATCAAACCCAGGGCTTCGTAAATGATAAGCATGCTTTCTAACAGCTAAATCACATTCCCATTTCAGATTTTCTTTCTTTTCTTAATTGTAACACATGATTTGTTTGTGTGTGTGTGTGTGTGTGTGTGTGTGTGTGTGTGTGTGTGTGTGCGCTCAGTACACACAGTACAACTTGTAGGAGTTGGTTTTTGCTTTCCACCATGTGGATCCCAGGAATCAAACAGGCCATCAGCTGTGGCGTCAGGTGCCTTCACTTGCTGAGTCGTTTTCGAAGCCTGGTTTCTGTTCTGATTCACCTGAATTGGTTGGTGGTAGATGTGGCACAGAGGAGAAGCCTTGGAAACCAGTCCTCGACAGGAACTCTCTCACTGCTGCTGGGATCAGAACACTGTAGCCCCTCCGGGAGGTTTGGTGGCTTCTCTCAAAACCAAACAGGCTCCTCCCACAGGACACACCAACTGAACTCCTTGGTGTTTGCCCGAGTGAACTGAAAACTTGGATTGACACAGATGTTTTCAGGGACTTGAGTCAAACTTGCCCAAACCGAAAGCAGCCATGATGCCCTTCAGTGGATGGTGGGATAAACTAGTGTAGAGCACCCTACAGCTACTATATTGTGTGATAAAAAGAAAGAGAAGCCATGGGAAGGCCATGGAAGCCCTTTTGCCTAGTCTAAAAAGGCTGCACACAGTCATTCAGAAAAGGCAGAACTATGGCAGCTGAAAAGATCAGGGTTGCTGGGGGTGGAGGAGGAGGGCAGATGGACTCCACTCCTTGATACTTCGATAGTGAACGCAGGACATCACACATTTGTCTAAACCCACAGATAGGACAACCCACCAAAAGTAAGCCGTGAACTTTCATTAAAAAACAATGTGTCAAAACAAACACAAAAAGCAGGAGACCAAATCAGTGCTGTTGGCCCTGGGGACTAGTCAGGCTATGCACTGGCCAGTTCTCTCCTATGCTGAACCAGCATTGGTACTGGGCAAGCTAGCTTGCCTCTCAAAACTTCACTCCATACATGCAGCTGTGACATAGGTGCTCATATCTCACCCCAGGGCTGTTGAGATAATGAACATGCTCCAAGGCTCTCATGGCCTATCCAAAAAGGGAAATCAGGGTGGTGATGGCCTGGATTGCAATTTATATCTCAAAGCAGGGAGCTTGGCCCTTTCCCTTCCCTCATTCTGGCGATCTGCTCCCACCCCACACTTCACATCAAACCTAGCAACCTCAGGCCTTCCAGCTAAATACAACTCATAGCAGTCCCTAACCCTGCCCCCAGCTACTCTAACTCCCTATTCCGGGAATACCCCAGGGCCTCAGGGCCCAGACACGGCAAGTTTCCTCTGCCGATCCCACTGATCTTGTGCAGTCAGCATATGCTGGCAGCTAGAAACCCTACTGTGCCCTGTTTTAAGTAAAGATTGGGTGTTGCTCAGCAGTCTCCAACACTGGTCTCAGTGTACTGTGGTTCACTGGGTTTATCTTTGCCTCCCACACAGAGGGTCTTAGGGAGCCTGGAAGTGCCAACTTTCTTCTTCCTGAGTTCTCTGACATCTCTCATTCCTTTGGAATATGAGCCACCCAGCCTTTATAGCACAGCACCCTCCTGCCGTACCTGCCTTCTTGCTGGCTCTCCTGCCCTCTGCTAGTAGTGGATCCCTTTGTGTCCATTCCTCACTGCCTTGCCCCAAATCCAAACTGCACCCTGTCGATCAGGCTCAAGAGACCAGGGCAGAAGGAGGCCCACCAGTCACACCCCAAAGCTCACACTCACCCTCAATAACAACCCATATGGTGATAGCCCAAGTCCCACCAAGGCCCCAGGCAGCCCCTGAGAGCCCGACAGCCCCAGGGTCTCTTTCTCCTCCTCCTCTGCTCCAGCACACCCTTCTTCCCTTTCCTCCCCCATGGTCCAGTCTATTCTGCTGAGGGGTCCTGGATCACCCCTATTTAGATACTCACCCACCCTTCCCAGGGTGACTCCCCCTACCATCATGTGTCATTACCACTTGGGTGGTTAGTACAACAGACCTAGCAAGTGCCCTTCCATCTGGGCACAGGACAGGATGGTACCAGTGACATCCTGCAGGCCCAGGGCAGCAGCCATAGGACATCAGACATTTCCCAGCTCAAATAGAGAAACTCACTCCCAAGGTCAAGAAGGCCTGGCTGGGACCACATGGGCTCCGAGTCACATGTACGATGTTGCTTCCTAGGCCAGGCATCCTCTGGCTCCTACTGCACCCAAGAAATGATGGTGGCATTGGCCTCTGTGTTCTCACACAGCCCTGGATGCTTTTGAGGAAGCCCCCCACCAGGAGTCATAGAATGTGGGGTTGCAGGTGGGCCCTAGGGTTAGTGTTTGTGAGAATTATAGCAGGGAACTGAGGCCTGGCCAGTCTGCACATGGAGGCCTCTCTGCACTGTGTGCACACCACATAGTCATGCAGGTCCTTGAGGCCCCATGGCTACCTGCCAGGCTTCTGGACCAGTGTTCTCCTAATGGTGAGGACCTAACCCACACCTCTGCTGCCCAGCACCCCATGTACCATGGCCACCCTCAAGTCATGGAGAAAAGGGCTGCTCTGGCACACAGGTAAATGCTGGGAGTTTCCCCCTCCACCCATAGGAGCACCTAGGAGCCTGCAAGCAGCTTTCCTTGCTGGGATCTAATTCCTGAGTCACCAACAAGCTGAGGGGCTGCTGCAGTCAGCAAGGCCTACCCTCTCACTGAGATCTGCCCTCTCATTGGGGTGGGCACATTTCTCAGACTCTGACCACAGCTGGACCTCTGAGGTATTCAGGAGAGGTTCTGTTATGATACACCCCGAACATCTCTAAAATCTTGGTCAGGTCTTTACAGTCTGATACTGTCCACGAGTTCTCTCTCGGCCCAAGGAACTTGGCAAGGATTTCATGGGCTAATCTGTTTAATGTCACCTTTGCTTTTGAAATCCATCACTTTCATAGGTTTATAGGCCAGGTGTAAAGGACCCTTCCCTTTTTTTTACTAAAAGGGGGCTCTTTGGGACCAGTGGGCTGTTGGGAAACAGGGCATGGGATGTAGGAGGCATAGCTCTGAATTCTTCCACAGAAGCTGGGTCAGGGCCCATCCCCACCCCACCCCACCCCACCTGCTCACAGGCACCCCACCTCTAGTATTTGTTCCTCACCCCCTCCCCCCTCCCTACCAAGCCATCACACTGCCCACTCTTGGAGATGCTCAGCCTTATGGAACCATGGAGCTTTCAGGGCTCCATCACATGGAGAACTCTTACATGTGAACTGTGTGTGTTGTACTAAGTCCTGCAAGTCCCCATCAGGGCCTGGCTGGAGTTAGGAGAAAAGCTGAGAGTCTGTTGTGGACAGACACTTGTTTCCCAAACCTCTGAGTAGCAGGTCAGTGTGCCTGCTGAAAGCGCCCCCCACCCCCTTGTAAGCAGCCCACACCCTGTCAAGGGGTGAGTATGCTTGGTTGACTCCCCTCTTCGCCCCAGCTCTGGGACTACAAAGGTGTAAAAAGACAAACAGACGAAGAATAATTTTTGTTGGGCCTCTTTATTTAGAACCTGGCAGACAAGGAGCCCTGGGCAGTTGGTATGGGCATCACAGGAACCATTTCGACAGTCTGGTCACCAAGTTTAAGAACAATCTAATAAAGCAGGGGGGAGACTGTAAGCTAACTGGAGATGAACGTGTGGGGGCTTTTAAACATCAACCATTTCCCTAGAGTCTAATATAAAAGTAGATTTACATTTGTGGGGTAATCTGAAGCTGGTGATTTCTAGTGCCTTTGGTAATAATCAATAACCCAGCAGTTGCGTGGCAGAGAGATCCACGCATGGATAAATACAAATATTAAGTTATCATAATTTTTTTAACTTTTTGTACAAATATACATTTTTTCCTTTTTCTCGTCTTTTTCCTTCGTTCTACATTTTCTAGTTTCTCTTTTTTTTTGCACTGAGAGCGAGTAGAGATTAGACATTTTACATAAATGATTTAAAGCTTTACACCTTGGGACCAGCGTACTCCTTGCACATGGTACAGAGTGTTCTCAATACATTGCACAGTTTTCAGATTTCCACAAAACCGTGGGCTGCTTTGCGCAGCCATCTCCGGTTCCTGCTACATGAACGAAAGGTCCCAGCGAAGCCCAGAGTTCTTCCACCGTCCGCTGCCCAGATGCCCAGCAAGTTCTCTCTGGCCGTTAGGCTCTAAACTGCGAGGAAAAGGACTCAGGTGAGCAAGCATGGCGGGAACCCCCCGGGGGCGGCCCCTCCGCGACCCCCGGGGGACACCAGACTCACCTAACTCATCGCAGACGCTTGCGCGGGGTCTGCTCCACCGCGCCCACCCCAGGAGCCACGTTAGGAGAGGGACACCCCGCAGGGACGTCGTTCGACGCCTTGTTCTCCTGCGCAGTTCTCTTGCGCTTGGCGAAGAAGTCTGCGGGCGACAGCGCACGCCGGTCAGGGCGGGGCCGGCCCGGAGACCCGCGAGGGGGCCCGCGGAGTGAGCAGGGCGCGGGGCTGGGGTGGGGGCGCCATCCCCGCCCGCGCCGAGGTCCGCGGCGGGTCAGCTTTGTTTACGTCGCCGCGCAATGTGCTGTGTAAGCATTTCCCCTTGTCCCGCGGCCAAGCCCCCCGGGGCTGCCGCCGCACTTAACCCCCTCCTCGCCGCACACACGGCGCCCTAAGGGCTCCCGCGGCCCCAGCCAAAGACCGCGATCCAAGTGGGTCGCGGCCAGGCTCACCCTCCCATTGCACACTCGGGAGCCTTCGTGATGCACCCCCACCAGTAGGAGAGGGGTGCGGGCGCAACCGCGCCCTAAGCGCCGCGGGCCCTTTAATGCCACGGGAGGAGGCGGGGACCGGGCGAGGCCCCCGAGGGCGAGGGAGAGCCCGGCCGGCCGGACAAAGCGAGGCCGGGCCGGGGCGGGGCCGTGCGGGGCTCACCGGAGATGAGAGGCCCCGACAGCTTCTGGATCGCACCGTTCGCAGTGGCCGCAGCAGTCCCTGCCGCGGGACGTCCTGGAATCCCCGAGAGAGGCTGCTCCTTCAGCTCCCGGCCGCGCGGCTCCTGGTTCGCGTCCTGCTCCTCGACCGGCTCCGCGCCCTGCTCAACGACCGGCTCCTCCTCGTCCTGCTCCTCGACCGGCTCCGCGCCCTGCTCCTCGACCGGCTCCCCGTCCTTCTCCTCGATTGGCTCCGCGACCTGCTCCTCGCCCTGCTCAGAGCCCGACTCAGCACCCGGTTCCTCGCCCTGCTCAGGGACCTGCTCAGCACCCGGCTCCTCTCCCTGCTCAGGGACCTGCTCAGAGACCTGCTCAGGGACCTGTTCCTCGCCGTCCTGGGGCGCCACCTCCGGGTTCGCGTCCGGGATCGGGTCCGGAGTCGGGTCCGAGGTCGCGTCCGGGGTCACGTCCGGAATCTGGTCTGAGGCTGGATCTGCGGCCGGGGCCGGGGTCGCGGGTGGGGTGGGCTCCGCGACCACGGCCGAGGCTGGGGCGCTGGGCGGCTGCTCAGGCTCCTCCTCTAGGCCGTCGGGGGCCTCGCCAGCCGGCGGCCCAGAACGCGGGATGACAGCCACGGCCACCGGGGGAGGCCGGGGCCCCAACACCAGGCGACAGCGCCCCACCTGCACGGTCTCGCGGTAGAAGGCGGGCACAGACTCGCTGTCCACCTCCATCCACTGCAGACGACCAGGGCCTCGAAGAGGCACATCCTGCTGGAAGTTGAAGTCCCAGCGGTTCTGGTCCTCGGCATTCAGCTCCGCCAGGCGCATCCTCAGCTCGCGGCCCAGCTCCTCGTGGTCCACAGGCCCGAAGAGGCTGCGGCAGGCGCTGCTGCGCGCTATCGCTGGGAAGCTGTCGCTGGAAGCCAAGCGTTCCATCGCTGTTCTGCTGCGGAGGTACACGTCGGACATGCCCATGGTCGAAGGCTGTGCAAACGCGGGCGGCGAGAAAGAAGGGAGCGGGAGGAGAAGGAAGAGGGGAGAGGAGGAGGGCGGAGGCTGGGCTTGGGTGAGACCCCTTGCACAGCCCGCGTCCGCCTCTGCCTAGGGACGCGGCGGCTACCTGGCTGGTTGGTGGCGGAAGGCTCCTAGGTCTCGATCGCTTGTCCTGTCCAGCTTGGACCGCGCCCCCTCGGAGCTTGACTGCCTGTTCGTTTGCTCTCAGTCGGGCCTATTCGGCACCCCTCGAGCACAGCGCACTCGGCCTGTGAAACGCCCAGCCCGCTGCGCCCCTTTATACGCGCTGGCCCCACCCCCGCGCGCGCGGGCCTCCTCACGATTAGCATAATGTAGTATTTTCAGTTTCAACAACACCGCGGCGATTGGCCGACGCACCCCGCCCCGCCCACAGAGGCCCGGCCCCCTAGAGTCGCTCATTGGCTGCGCGCACACACCCCCGGGGCCGGGCGGGGCCGGCGACGGGCGTGCGCTGATTGGCGGCCGCGCAGCGAGCGGGCTGCGCGGGACAGGGGGCGGGGCTCGAGTTAAAGAGCTCTGCGGGCGGTAACGTGACACCGCGACGCCCCTCCCCCTCGCCCCATTTCCCCCCCCTCCCGCCCCCCGCGGGCTCCTTTGTCTGCAGGCGGGGGCTTGCGCAGCCGCGACGCGCGCGCGCCCCCTCGGACCCTGGAGCTGGGCACAGCCCCTCGGCGATTCCGGCGTCGGTGCAGGTCCTTCGATCTCTACGGCCTTGTTCTCACTAGGGCTGCGCCAGCTGATAGGGCTTTAACCCACCACTACTAGCTGGGTCCTGGCCCTAGCAGGACCATGGCTGGAGCCACTCTCTGCACGCAGGCCTGTGTCCCTGCCTTCGAGGCGTCTGCACACCTGCTGGCCCTAAGAGCCTCTATCAAGGAGATAGAGACAGGGGTCAGTCCCATTCTCTTCCAGAGGGACAATATTGTGGAGATCTTGAGGGCCTGAACCACGGTCTGTAGCCTGATCCGTTGGCCCACCTACCCAGATGAGACACAAGCTGGCCCATTCTGGCCTGTACCTACATCACGATACTGATAGATGCCCAGGACCTCAGGTTTGTTGTCAGGCCATATCCAGCCCCCAGTTCTGCCTGCCTTGGTTGGCTGGAAGCAGTTGTGCAGGAAAGAGGGAAGGACCCACCCCTCCTCCACACAGTGCCTGGTAGGTTGGTAGGGCCCTGGATACGCACACAAACACACCACGACTGTGGCTGGCCGACGCCCCCGCCCCAACCTCCGCCGCCAAAAGGAGTCCATTATTTAGGGCAGAGAGTCCAGAAGGTGACTCCGGCATGTGCCAGGAGCAGGCCCCCTCCCCCGCCATGGGGAACCAGGACTTCCGGACATACTTGAAAGGCCCTGCAGAGCCCCCAAGCTCTCAGCTCCCAGCAGAGATGCCTCTGAGAATTCGGAGACAGAATTCTATTTGCAGTAGTTAGGTAGTTCGGAACAACTAGGAAGGCACGCGGTTGATAACAGGTCTTCAAACCCTGAAGCCAGGTGCCAGACTGAATAGGTCGTCCTGAAACAGGTAAGAGCCAGGGTTTAGGAGCTGCTCTGGTGGAGAAACCAGCACCCATGACCTGTGAGGATTTATTTTTCTCAAGTACACCACATTACAAATCTCTCAGGACATTGGTATGTCACGGTATCTTTCTTGAGTAAAGTAAAACTAATGAAGGCTTCTGAGAGGCCCCATGAACCCCTTACTAAAGGCTAAAACCAACTAGTCCAGGGTCAGAAGGCGTCAGGGCTTTGTTCTGTCCCTGGGTCTAGGCCGCAGGGGCCACCCCAGAGACCCCTGGGCACAGGACCACGCTTGTTAGTGACCACCTGGCCCCTAGGGTCTCCCCGACAGTCCGAATGCCCAGTCCGCAGCTGGCAAGGATGGCAAGGACAGAGAAGGGCCACCCTGCTCACAACCCAGGCCAAAAGCTGCCGTGAGACTGGACACGCTCCCTGTGGTGCGGAGCTACCATGCCCTAGTTGTTGGGAGAAACAGTACAGAGACCCAGATGAGCTGTGCAGCCTGCCTCACTGGACATCAGCCTGGCTAGGACACCCCTGCCCGAGGTTACCCTCTTGTTTGCTTCTACTTTTTTTTTTTAAAGTTTTGTGAGACAGTTTCTCTTCGCTTGGCACAGAGATCCACCGGCCTCCCGAGGGCTCCGGCTAAAGGTATGCGGCACCGCTGCCCGGCTGCTTTCTATTTTGATATTACTGTTTCATCAGTTTATTTGTCCCACCTCAACACAGGAGAAAATGACCCCTCTGCAAGTCTGAGTCAGGCGAAATCACGTCAAGGGTAACATCCACAGACTTAAGCACACTGGTTCCAGGAGCAAGCAGGCTTGAGTCCTCACCTAGTCCTCCAGCCCAAGAGGTCTACAGGTAAGTAAACATCTATCTGGCTACAAGAATCGCCTATTTTTGTCATTAAAAATACATCCAAAGGAAAAAGGAACATTTTTCCACTGTGTTGCTTCAGAGAGGTGGGGGGTGGGGTGCTGGTGGGGTGCTGCTCTGGTGTCGGGCTCATCAGGGACAATTTTCCTGGGCTTCTCTCGTGGGATAAAGGAGGTATAAGCTCTGGGACATGGTGAGTAGAGTGATGTTTCACTCCTGTAGTCTTCACCCATACCCTTGGGCAGTGTGTGTTCTTCACCTCTAGCTTCTCCGGAGCACCTGGAAGGGCCACACATCTAAATCCAGAGACCAGTTTCTGCCACAGATCTTTGGCAAAATTTCTATGTGCACCCGTTTATATGACAACCATGGAAGCTGGTTTTTTGAGGTTTTTTTTTCTGTGTGTGTGTGTGTGTGTGTGTGTGTGTGTGTGTGTGTGTGTGTGTGTACTCACTCGGCGGACCAAATAGAGAAAAGAGGGTCGTGGCAAGGCTCAGGCACAGCCACTCGGCCGGTGATTGGAGTAGGAGATAAAATTTGAAGAGCTGGGGGTGACTCAGTGTTAAGGCACTCGAGAAGTATGAACACCGGCTCTGGGTTCCATCCCCAGCACCGAAAATAAATGAATGAGTGAATGAATAAATAAATGCTGTGTCCTTCATCGCGAAAAGTTTGGAGCTGACTCTGCCGCGGCGCTGCTGACTGCAGCTAGAACACACAGCAGGCAAGCCGGCACTTCGGCACTGTGTTCCGAGGAGGAAACGGGCTGGCTAGATTAAACCCTTGCTGTGGCTCCTAGGTGATTAAGGCCAGCTTAACCCACACCCTCCAGCTCCTCGAACCAACTCCAAGATTTGATTAGTGAATTGTAACGCAGGAAAAATCCTGATCCCAGCCCTCCTGCACTTTCATTCTTAGAGGAGATTGGAGCAGCTAAGCCAGCTCAGTTTCCCGGAACGTCCCGGGGTCGCACTCACAACACCGGCATAGTTGCTCAGCTACAGGGACTCAGGCACCCTGAGGAAACCGGGTGCCGAGGGTCTTCCAGCCCCTAACTAGAACGAAGGCAGGGTCCAAGAAGCCTGTCCTTGGCTTCATGCTGCCCCCTGGTGGCCCACTAGGGCAGCACCGGCTTCCTGGCTGCCCCGTGCCTCCCTTTCCTGCCTGCGTGGATGGCTCTCCCTGTCATACACACCCGCTGACCCACAGCCCCAGGTTCTGGGGCCCTCCTGGGGTAACCAAATATAGGATTGTGATTTGTCACCCCACTGGCTCTTAGTCAAACCTGCCTGAAGCCTTCTCAGATTCTAAGACCCTGAGCTGTCTTATCAGATAAATTAAGACCTTGAAGAATTTTCCATGAAGCCATGGCACATGTCACCCATCCATCAAGGAAGGTGGAGAATGCAGACCCAGGGTCAGAACTAGAGGGAGAAGGTCGAAGGGCTGGGTGACACACTTTGCTGCTTCTGGGGGCCCCTGGAGGGCCATTAACAGCAATCTCCTCCCATAGTCCTTCTGGGGTCTCATCATCGGGGAGTGGGGCAGTTTCCAGCTGCCTCCCAGATAATGATGCACTTTCACGGAGGCCCAACACGTCTCCATCTTGTGCCTACTCCGGTCTCTGACCTGCATCTCTGCTTTGGGCTCCTTTACTTTAATTCAACACCCAAGAGAGAGGACAGACCAAAGACAAAGGCTCAGAGAGGTTCGGCATGGGGCCGGAGATCTCTCAGCAAGCAGGGGCAACAGCCGCTTCACTGGCTTCGATCTTAACGAACACTTGGACCAAGCCCTGGATGGAGTTTGAGCTGGCTGTTTGCGATGGCGGGAGCCCCTGGAATGTCCCCCACACGGCCCCCCAAGCCTCCAACTCCTGCCCCCATTGGTTGGGCTGGAGGCTCCGAGGGGTTTGCGCGGTTACAGACCAACCCCGCCGCCCCCAAGCAGCGCCCTGTGCTCACTTGGCGGGGCCCCAGGCGGGCGCAGCGCGAACGCCCTCCCGCACCAGTTCCCGCGCTCGGCTCGCCCCGCCCCCAGGACGGGCTGTTCTTGGGGCCGCTGCCAGACACGTCCTCCGCAGGTGCCGGCCTCTCTCCGGTGACGCGGCCACATGCGGCCCAGGCTCCGATTACAGGGCCTGCCTTGTACTCGGGGTCCGGGCCGGGGGTCCTCACTCCCCAGGAATGGGTGGGAGGGGCAGGGCAGGCCCTGCAGAGGGAGACTACGAACAAGGAACAGCCGCAGGCAGGAGCCGCCCCCAGACACGTGCGGCGGCCGCCTAGCCGCCGCCGCGGTTTGGAGGCGGGGAGCCTGCGCCCAGCTGCATGATTTGACTGGGCCCAGGACCCACTCAAGTTCTAGAAGTTCAGAACCACTGGGCACCCCAGGATCCTGATGCCCCTCTCTCGGGGATGAGGAGGTCTAAAGCGCTGGTAGGAGCTGAAGTCAAACACTAGACCAGCCCAAAGCCCCCAGCATTCCCTCTTTCCACAGACTATGTGCAATGCCGGGTTCCCAGGCCAAGGGGCCCGCTTTGCCAAGGAAATTATATTGTAGATCTTGTGCTCCTGGCTTCCCTTCCCCCACATCCCCTTTCTTGTTGGTACTAGCAGGACTCACAATCAGAACTTCCTGCCCACGAGGTGTACCCAGGACCCCTAGGTCCCTCCATGCCACCTACCTTTGGCCTAGCTTCCAACAGCTCCAGTGTCAGAAGAGCCCAGGATCTGCTGGAGAGGCTAGGGGAGGGAGCAACCCCCTAGAGAGGAGGGTGAGGATCCTCTCTGCACCCCAAGTATTTCTCCACTGCAGGGAGATGTAGCCCACCCACCACCACAAACACACTCAGATCCCCAGACAGAACCTCAGGGGTGAAAGGAGTTGCCGAAAGATACTTTCTTTTATTATATTTTGAGACACAGTCTTCCAGTGGACCCGGCTGCCTTCAGACTCAATATGCAGCCAAGGATGACCTTGTAGTTCTGATGCTCCTGCCTCCACCTCCTAAGTGCCGGGATTTCAGGTACACACCGTAGTGCTGGAGATGTGTGTGCTAGGCAAGAACTCTAACAACTGAGCTGTGTCCT